CCCTCCTCCTCCCTCCCTCCCTCCTCCTCTCTCCCTCCCGGGCTCCCTGTCTCCCTTGTTCCTTCTTTATCTTCTCTCTGCTTCACTCTGCCCATCTTTAAAGATGACAATATTATCATTTTCCTACTTCATAGAAAGGTGGAAGTAACTGAGACGTCGCAGCCCATACTCAGTGCTGGGTGGGCCGTCATGGAGGTGGCAGGAGCGGGCTTAAATCGTTCAGATTTGGCTTTGATTTTGCAAGCGGGAAATTCCGTTTTCCCCTGTGATGGATACATTGAAATCCATGCCAGATGTTAGGCATTAGAAAGCCAAACCAAGTTGACGTGACAGAAACTCGAAATTTGTGAGAACATCCTAACTGAAAACAACAGCTGCCTGATTTCTATTAAGATGCTGCCCTTCGCTTCTCAGCAGAAACGCTACTGGGTAGAAAATAGCCAGGAGACGTCTTTTTGGGGAACTTCGAAGTTAAAATCGCTTTCTATGATGACTTTTCAAAATGGAAATTTCCATTTGTAGCTTATTTGTTGTAAAAAGAAAAAAAAGAAAAAAATGAGCCGTCTGAGCAATTACTATGGTGTGGACTGCAGTTTTTGCCCAGCTTCAGTTTTTCCCGGTCCAGGGTGCACGGGCGCCTGCGGGGTGCGGCCGGTGTCCGCGTGAGAAGGTGCAGGGCGCCCGAAGAAGCGCCCTGCCGTGTCTCCACCCGCCCGCCCTCTCTCAGTCTCTCCCTCCTCCTTTGGGCAAACGTCCCCCTTCCTTCTGCGCAGCGTGTGCATCTCAGGCCACACACACTTAGATATGTAGGAGATAGAACTTTCCATTTTGAGTCCCGCGTCGTGTCCGTCATAAGCCTCAGTGCTTGCTGAGCAGCGGAGCAGAGCCCTCAGGACATTCGGGCCGTGCCCCGCCCCCAGGCTGTGTGTGGTGCGCGGCTGGCCTCCCGGTGTGGGACCCGGGCCCATCTGCATCTCAGTCGCCTTCCCGATGGCTGTCTCCCGAGGCGCCCTGCTTTCCACGTGCCGGGCCCTTTCCAGTCCGGGCTCCCAGGCTCGCTCATTGTCTCCACGCCTCTGTGGGACCCTGCCGCCTCAGAACGCGCCTGCTAGTGTAGACTGCTCTACCCCACCACGTGGGAGGTGGGAGCCCAGGCTCACTCGGGACCCGCCCACGTGCCTGTCCTTCATCCTTGTCCCCGATGGCTCTATGCGTTTGGAAACGGTGGTCGTGCAGGGGAAGAACGGAGCCAAAGAAAGAGAAACGGCAGGATGTGTAGGGAGGAGGTGGGAGCTGACTCTTCAAAAATGGCCTCAGCTCAGTTGTACCTGGTAATAACATTCACCTGACTTTTGACATACAGACCTCGACCCACCCAGAGACTTCCGTCCGTCTGCCGTGACACAGTCGGGCGGGGTTCTGACCTGGACGCGCCCCTCTGCTCAGATCGATGGCTACATTCTGACCTACCGGCTCCCAGATGGCACCGCTCAGGTACCGGACGCTCCTTGTCTGTTCTCGCGGTGCCCGTGCCCGGCCCCCGGATGACGCGGGCCAGCCAGCTCGGTTGCTGGTCATGGCAGCCGCCGATCCGTGAGCTGACCCCATCGATCACCTGCTGTGTGCAGGGGACAGCGCTAAACACAACCGTTTGTGAGCACCGTAGTCCCCTGCCACGGAACTGACCTTGGGGCCTGCTCCTACCGAGCGCTGAGTCCTTGCCGGCCACACGTCGGCCCCATGTTATCTTGTTTATTTTTAACCCCCCCAATAAACATTAGCTCCATGAGAAGAGGGACTTTTTACCTGTTTTGTTTGATCACTGTAGTGAAAGTGCTTAGAACCTGGCACATGGTAGGTGCTCAAAAAAGATTTAGTGAGTTGATTGGTTAACCCTTATTTCAAGGGTTATACTTCTCACATGGAATCTCGAGGCCAATTTTTAAAACTTGTCCCTTAATAATGGAAAATTATTATTCTCTCTCCTTGGCAAGGAAGCAGGAGGGAGGAAGAGAAAAGGAAAGGCACTGACGTGCTCAGTAGCTCAGTCAGTGCTTAGGACAGCCCCTAGCGGAAACGGGACAGGAAGTTTATTGCAAGCCCAGCTCTCTTCCTGCCTCAGTTCCCGTTAACTTCTCAGCCTGGCGTTGTGTCCCAGCGAGGACAGAGGTCCCAGGAGACCTGGCAGGTGCCCCTCCAGCAGTGCCACCTGCTACTGGCTCCGGGTGGTGCTCCCCGCA